TTTCCTTTGCTGACAAACATGGTTTCTATTAATGTCATCATTTTTTTTTTTTATGAGTGGCATTGCTATTTTTTTTCTGGCTGCATGTGCAGAAAAAGTGTGACGGTTTCGAAACCAGGCAAGAACTGAAGGGCGCATGTTCCTCCTGGGTAGAAATTTCTGGATGTATTTTATTCAGTTCAAACCCAGCTGAAGAAAAGTCCTCTCCTTTCAGGGTTCGGTAACCGCTGCATCCAGCCCAAAGGCCCTCGAGAACCCCCCCTGGAGTGGACATGATGGAACGAACTGTCTGCCTGTCCACCAACAGTCTTCTCGCCTGTCAGGAGACGGACTCTGCCGATCTCACCTGGCGGGTCCAAAAAAACCAAGTTGATAGATGCTACACAGACAGACAGCACATTGTTACATAGAAGCACCTTCTGTGTAACTCTGTGCAGAACAGCTTGTCAAGACCGAGCTCCCCCACCAACCCCCCCCCCACCCACCCCCCACCCAGTCCCTTCCTTCAAAGTGCCACTGTGCAAAGCGGAAGAACACTAACTGGTCAAGTGGCTTGTCCATTTTAAGAACAAAGCCCACACTTTCCTGTTCAGCTTGCTGATGTTAGAGGTTTTGACTTCTCCAGACGCTGACCTGGGATCAGTCTGGTTATTCCCTGTCAATGGTTAAGGATAATTCCTGTTTTGTTCTTTGTTTTTTGTTTTTTTTCTTTTGTTTTTTTTGGTGACTTGAGAGTAGATTAAGAAATGGTCTTGTTTTTCTTCTCTGAGCTGTAGACAACCATGAAGATTTGCCCATTTTAGGCTAAATGAAGAGGAATGTAGGTGTTAAATAAAAAGTGTTCTCCTTACATTAACAGAAGAAACTCTTTGTTTCATACCAAATGAGAAAAAGTAACTTTTTTTTTGTCCTAAATCAGGAATTATCTTTAATCAGAAAAGTACTGTGGGAAGGCTGATTCCTGAGGTTTAACTGAACTCCAGAAGGTGTCTGCTTCCTCCTACTGAATGAACAACAATCTTCAAAGCGAACCTAGATAATCTGTTACCCATGATGCAACCATTTCTGTTGGGTATGTACAGGTTGCCAGGGTGCTCTCTCTCTCTCTCTCTCTCTCCTCTCTCTCTCTCCTCTCTCTCCTCTCTCTCCTCTCTCTCTCTCTCCTGTCTCTCTCTCTCTCCTCTTCTCCCCTCTCTCTCTCTCTCTCTTCTCTCTCTCTCTCTCTCTGTATCTCCGTTCTCTCCCTCTTTCTGTGTGCTGGTGCTACATTACAAAGGATCAGCATTGAAACAGAAAGACTAGAAGCTGACTGTTGCCAACATTCAACTGTCTCTCACCTCTGTCCTGTAGGATTTGTCCCTGTGTTAACTGCAGTAATTTCAGCTCTAGCACTGTATGTTTTATGCTGACCTCCCTGTTTCCAGAGTCATAAGGCTGAGTGGTTTGGTCATTGCTGTTGTCAGTAGTAGGTTGTATATGTCTGAGTCGCCAGCAGCTCAACCAAAGAGCGACGTTCCCTTCTGAAAGTGATGAACTTCAATAGTATTTAGAGACCTGAAGAGGTAAAACTATCCAGTATTTCACAGAAATATATCTGGTTTTCGTAATCCCAATCTCCTTTTTTTTTGGACCTCAGAAGATCGCTCCAGCGATCCTTTGGGTGAAGTACCCAGAAAAACCTGACAGCCATGTTTCCAGTCGCAGCAGTTAAATAACCTTAAAACACATCAGTAATGGTCAAACTCGCCGTGAACCTTTGACTCTGGCTCTCACTGCTGGGACCATGAGCCTGCCTTAGTCCCGCCCCAGAGAAGACAGCCAATGAACAGTCCTTCTTAATTTGGCTTTTCTCCTCAGTTCATTTCTCTCTTTGTGTTTTTGGCTTCTCCGGTCTTTACTCTGGGACTTATATTTGCTATTTTATTTCATTTTCTTCCTGTCTTTTTTTTTTTTTTTGTTGTTGTTGCTCTTCGGTTCTCATTCTCATTTCTCTCCTCCTGCCGGTGAGGCCCTCAGATAAACGACCGTGCATGTCTTTATTTTAGCAGCCAGTTTCCTCACAGCAGACCTCAGTGTTTGGAAGTATGAATGTCACGCATCATCTGAAACTCTTGCAGATCTTGACAGGTTGATATTAAAGCTTAACTTGTTTGGTTTCTCATCTGAGGCCAAATCATACTTCACCTGCTTCTGTATTGTGTAGACAATGATCAAATAAGAGTACAGCAGCTAGGGACCCAGGACTACTGTTTCCTCCTGATTTATATTGTTCTCTGCTAACTTCTCTTCATTAGCTACCATAACTATACAGTATATGCATTTTTTATAAAGATAAAGAACTGTACAGGGCAGTTTAGGTATATAATATTTCAGATTTCTTTTGCTATCTCTTAATATTCTTATTAACAGAAGATGTAAGAAAGTCAGTGCATGATGTTGATGATGATTCCTCCTCTACACGATGTTTCCCTTCGAACTGTAAATTATTCTGCTGCCCCTTTTGTTTTTGCCTCTGGCAAATATTTCAGGGTTGTTTTATTTTTTACTTTTATGTTCAAATTATATGCGTAAAAAGATTGAAACATTTTTTTTTGT